AAAGTAAATTAAAATTTGCACTTAAGTTTTTTCGATTCGGTGATCGACATAACCTTGTACACATTTACGATGTGCGATTATAGAGGAGGATGACTGTAGCAATCAATTCGAAAGCATGATTGAAATAAGAATGATAGAATAATTCTAAATAAAACATACACAATATCATTAATATTTTTTGTTTTATTCCAATAGATAAATGGTTAATGCATGTTCATGTTCATGTTTCTAAATAAGTAATTGGTTATATTTGCAGACGTCGACAAAGGAGTCGAAAAGCATCAGTACAATTGGTCTTACCAAAATTGAATTATATGATTTGAATCATGATTTGTCAGCTCTGATGCAAAATATTTGATTGTTGTAACGTTATGGATCGGATAGCAATACACGTGCATGCGTAATCAGCTTTGGGCGTTTAATGAAATTGGTCATTAAGGAAAGTGTTATTCATTTAACCATAGTTATTTATTCCATTAATAACATCCATGTTGGTAGATATTTGACGGTATAGCCTTATAAATTGGTTGTTTGATTATAAACAAAAAGACATTCTATTTATTAAGCCAATAAATCAGAATTTTTTATCAGTGAAGTTATTTACATTAAATTTGTTAATAGCTTAAATGAAATTAAATTTCCGTAATACGGTAAGTTTACAATAGCTACAAATCTGTAGCCCGGTTTATTATTATTTGAGGTTTAATATAATTTATTTTTAAAGTGGCTTACTTTCATCAGTATTATGTGCTACCATATACGTATGACATAATCATGCAGTTAATGTCTTATAAAATATAAAATCAGAATGAGTTACTGTGCAAGTGCCCATAACGACTCATTCTCTAAAATAATTAGCTCTCCGGAAAATACATCGCTATCTCCGGATTGAATTCCGAAATCAAATGACGCGATCCCGAAGAGTTAGGTGACCTTTAAGACGAAACCGAAGAGATTTCGGGAAACGACAAATTTTTAGTTTGTCCCAAAATTTATGAGAACAGCTGTAAACTAAATTTATCGACATGAAGAAGATTGCATAATATAATGTCATCTATTTTATCAACCCTATAAGAAAATGTACCGGATCGGCACGAGTTGGTTTCGGATAGGTATAGGCCTTTGTGGCACGGGTCAAGATCCCGATTGTACGGGTATGGTCTCATAGGAGGACATTCGTTTGATTGGCTGATGTAAATCAATTGCCTGGGTAACTTATTTACTGTATACACTTTAAGTACTTTTTGGGAACACAACGTTTCACTAATAAAAAATCACCGCAAAAGCCATTCTTTGCTTCGATAGAACGTTTATATTCACTATGTAAAAATAATCAGTAATAATCAGTATCCCCGCGAACTTTACTTAGAAGGCAAAATATGCCTACCCGCTTATTGGACCATATCAAACTATACTGTAGAGTGAAGGTAACCAGAAATGTTTTCGTCTAAAACTATATTATTACGTTAGATCTAAATAAGCTTTTATTTCTAACTGTTTAATTTGAATAGGTACAAGCTCTTTAACAAGAAGATCCGGGCTTAATATTTAAATTTGGTCGGTTCTTATAGTGTGTTTGAGCTTGTTAACGTAAATTAGTTAAAGTTTTAATAGTTTTAATTTATATCTTATATGGTATATTCTTTAATAGTTTGGGTTTATTAGTAATAAACATCTTATTTGCCCACTTTACGCGTATCTATCCATTCTCTACATATTAATAATAAGTTCTTTCGCGTGCATTTATTAGTTTGTAAGCTTCTTTATACGAAGTTTCTTTCGTTTTCTAATATCGTACTGTAGTATTAATTAAAAATTATGTATTTGATTGGTTAATTATCACAAAATTAACCAATCATATAAATGTCTTCCTATGAGCTTTACTGTATAATTACTTGCAGTCTTTTTTTTTTTAATACAGAAAGTTAACTATAATTGTATAGGTAAAATTTTATCTAGGCATTTTCCATTAGTGCTCTAAGTAGGTTTAAGACACCTGTTTTCTATATCAGGGGGTTTCGAAGTTAAAATGCGGAAATCTAATTTTAATTAAAATTGATTAGGTAATTATTCTGAAATAAGTGATCCGACAATCTAATCTTATTTTCAATTTGGACGAAAGTTTTATTTTATTTTTTTAAGTTGTGTGATAATATAAAATATTGATGTTAATGACTAGAGTTTTCTGATTTTAAAAAATTTTCTGATTTCATGAAATGAGAATCTCCAAGCACTCCTATTTCATTTTCCGATTTTAAAATTTTGAAAAACAAATAAGATTTTTTAAGCTCTCATTTAATTTCAAAATGCGCCACTTACATCACACTGCCTGCTATATTTAATTATATACTGAACTATTAATTGACGAAACCGCCTGCATGTGCAATCATCTAGCTTTTTCTATCACTATCGAGAACGATAAATTTGGAATATTACTACGGTATGTTTGCGTCATATAATCTGTTATCTGTTGTACACCGTATGTAGTCATACCTACGTACTACTAGGGCGTTCCTAATAAGTTTATCCACAAACGTATAATTATCCTGCAAACTCATATGATCATGAAAAATTTTCTTTTTCATGTGTTACGATGTAATTACGTTTATTCCAATATTTAAAATAAAAATATCATCATGATCAAAAATTTCCGGATAACGGGCAAATTGTCGAATACAGTAATTTGGCAAATGATTGGCTACACGTGCCGCTTTGCGGCACGTGCTCATTTGCCAAATTAGACAATTTTGCACTTACTAATCAAGAACCGGGTCTCTTATGTTCCTAACCCTGGCTTAGACTCGGGTATAATAGAGGCAAGCGGGGTATTTTATACGGCCATTTACGGTAAATAATAACTGATTATTAGTGATAATTTTTTGGCGTAAATTTTCCGAAATTTTAATTCATAATAAATTACTATTAAGTTTTTCAAATTTTAACGGGCTGTACCTGTACTTATAATGTTTTCTGATTTAGTAAATTAATTTTAATTTTTTAAAATACGTATTTATACCGCATATTTTAAATATTCGTATAAACGTCCCAGAGGTGTAATTTCGGCTTAATATAAATGGCGTATTCAAGTTTATATGTTAACATATGCGGTTATTACTTGAAAATCCCAACTTCTCTGTATATAGGCATAAACTGATAGTATAGTTTCCTAAATTATCAATCTCAATCTTGCATAGAAATAATACGTAAAGAATACGTAATATTTACGTACGTACGTTCGTACGATAAATATTTAGCACAAAAATTTTTTCTACCTCTTGTTGAAATTTGATTTGCAATTAGTCAAGTAAAACTACAAGAAAAATCTGATATTATACTGAATTCTTAATAATAATTTTTTAAAATAAAAAAGATTATGGAAGACACAAAATTTATCCTTTCGATTGATGGAGGAGGTTTTCGAGGTTTAATCCCTGCCATTATCCTCTCTGAAATTGAAAAAAGAGTAACCGATGAAATAAAAAAAAGAGTAACCGATGAAATAAAAAAAGAACATCAAGATGTAGATATAAGATGTGCTGATTTATTTGATATCATGGCTGGAACTTCGACTGGTTCTATAATTGCTTTGAGTTTATCAATTGCTGAAAAAAACAATCGCCCTAAATTCAATGCCGAATCTATCGTGAATTTTTATAAAGAACATGGTTATGATGTCTTTCCTGCTTATTCTAACTTTAATAAAGTGTGGTCAAAAACTGATAAATCATCAACTACTAGCACTGAAAAAGAATTTATTAAGGTTGAGGAAAACATTAAAAATATAACTGATGTTACCGAGAAGAAAACTGATGTTATAACCGAGAAGAAAACTGATGTTATAATCAAGAATAAAACTGATGCTACAATCAAGAATGAAACTGATGCTACAATCAAGAATAAAGTTGATGCTACTATAACTGAGAATAAAACTGATATTACAATCAGTACCGCATCTAAGAATACTACTATAATGGCGTATTTAGAAGCATTTGCAGTTGCTAATAATCCTTGGATGCCGAAATATTTACCTAAACCATTTGAAGATTTATTAGAACAAAGTTTCAAACAAACTAAACTCAAAGATACTATAAACGATATGATCGTAATCATTCCATCTTATGATATCACCAACAGTGAATACATTCTCTTTACAAATAATAACATTGAACATAAAGAGCTTTTCATGAAAGATGTTATACGTGCAAGTGCTGCTGCTCCTACATTTTTTCCTGCAAAACAAATAGGTACAAATTATTTCATAGATGGTGGTGTTTTTTCGAATAACCCAACAGTTGTGGCTTATCTTGAAGCAAAAAAAATGTATCCAAATTCGAAATTTGTTGTAGTTTCTCTTGGTACTGGTTACTACAAAGAGCCTCTAGAATGTTATAAAAATTGCGGTATTGTTCAGTGGTTAAAACCATTGATTAATCTTTTGTTTAATTCTGAGGTTGATAATCATGACACTATTATGAAACATTTTGCTAAATTTGATGGCACACGCTACTTTCGGATTCAACTGCAATTGACGAAAGATGATAACACTATTGATGATGCTTCAGAAAAAGAAGCTATAAAACTTACTAAATTAGCCTATGAAGCTATTGATGATCCTAAGAATAACTTTAAGGAAATAATTGATTTGCTCGTTGATAAATGTAGAAAAAAGAATATGCTCCTTACTAGAACAAAAATAATCCTACAAAATATTTTGAACCATAATTTGAAATTTGTAATTTCTTTAATATTAATATATTATTTAGCTGTATTATTTATTAGACCATGCAAATAAATTAGCTCGTTACCCGGCCTGGAGACTTTTTTTTTACAAAAGATGAAATTTTTTTTTTATTAGTATATATATTATTTATTATTATTTAGATTGCCGTAATACCAATTGCGGCTTGCTGACTTTTGATTTCTTATATTTTGTTTATGGAATATAAAAAATCAGAAATCTAAAAGAATTTTGCACCGTTTACTTAGTCTAACAATCATTTATCAATCAAATTATTTAGACTTAGAGCACGGAAAAATCAAACAAAAACTTGATTTTAATTACAAAATCTATTTTAGACTTTAAACAACCTCTTGAGCCTAAACCTAATTTTATATGTAAAAAATTTAACCATAATATAATTATAAGCGAATTTGGATTTTTTTTTAAAAAAAGAAACTTTGAGCGAAGATTTCTCAGAAACAACCTGACTAAATCAGATAGAATTTTTTTTATTTGAATTTTTATGGACTAATAGAATTAAAATAAAAAAAATTTCATCAAATTTGATCAGATAGGTGCTAAGATATCTTCGCTCAAAGTTTAAGGAAAAATTTTGGCAACTTTTATTTTTGACGTTTTGATAATTTAAAAAAACATCGAGCGAAGATATCTTAGCAACCATGTGATCAAATTCAATGAATTTTTTTTTATTTGGATTCTATGGACCTATAGAATTCAAATTAATCGAATTTGATCACGTGGTTGCTTGAATATTCTTTAAGAAAATTTGGCGCAGCTTTTAAAAAACTTCGAGAGATGATATCTCAGCAACCGCCTGATTAAATTTAATGAATTTTTTTTTAAATTGAACCCAATAGATTCATAGAATGCAAATAAAAAAAAAATTATCGGATTTTATTAGATGGTTTCTGAGAAATCGCAACAATCACGTAAAATCGATTGCAATCGGACAATCGGGCATGCAGTGATCTACCAATTTTATCAAAAAATAAATCAATTTGCAAATAGCGATAATGAAAAAAAGTTCGCTGTCAATTAAAAAATTACTGTTTTTATGAAAACCTGATGAATCTTTATGATTAAATAGCAGTAATTTTGAAAAAAATTTAAGATTCAGAATGCTCATTGACAGAAGGGGAACTGTATTTTTATATTTTATTGACAATTAATTTCGTCAGGGGTTTCGCTAGACGAAACCATTGACGAAAACCATTATAGTTTCGTTACCCATCTTTAAAAACAAGTTGGACTGACTTTTTCAATAAAGTAGCAACTCACTTGATCAGTTTTTTCAACTCTCGACTATTTAAAAAAATCAATTGATTTAAGCGCTTAATCAGATATTTGACCATCAAGTCTTTGCTTGATTGTGCCGAGCACTAGCTAAATCCAATAAATAATCAATGGTAAACTTGAAAGCATGAAACATCATTTTCCTTTGGCGGCACTCATATTATTTTCAAAGATTAGTAATAGTAATGGAATGTTTCATAGTGTTTAAATCATTCACTGGAAAAACATGTAATTCATCATAATGTAATAAATGCATCGTTACTTCATGAACCTGAAAACTAATTTTGATAAAATGATTTAAAACTAAATCAATATAATAGGGTGATTCAAATCTAATGCTCATGGTTTCCAATTTCGAATTAAATTAGTGACGTAATTATTATAATAATAATTAATACTTTTTACGATCGTGAATTTTCTTTATTAATTTATTATGACTATATCATACAATAACAATATTTTATCAAAAAAGACTACTCATTTCATCTCTGAATATAACCTATTTCATTTTCTGATTTCAAAATTTCAAAATAGAAATAGGACGTTTTAAATTCCCATTTGATTTTGAAATAGGTTAACTTTGAATCACCCTAATGGAAAATTAAATAAGAAGGCTTGTCTTATACTTCGATTAATAAAAGCCGAATAAAGGAGAATTGTTGGTTCGTTATGCATAATTCATTACGCATATGATCGTTACGCATAATCGTTATGCGTAAAATCATTATGTAATTTCATGGTGATTTGCAAAGTTCGGTGAATACGCAAACTGCAATAAGTACTGTATTTGCGCGTATTAATGCACATGGGCGTTATTTCGAAACTCTAAAATTTGGGTTTGACTCAAAATAACGCCCATGCACGTCCCAAAATAACACGCCCCCTTAAATATACCATACTACATATTTGATCGAATTTTCATTAATAAAAGTAGGCTTCCTCTTGTAACCCAAATTTGTCAAATTACCGCGCATGCGTGTCCTGAAATAATGCGTAATAACGCGCACCTGCGCGTTATTATGCGCAAATACGGTAGCTTTAATGCACGGCAAAATAAACAAAATCTTGATTTTCAAGTTTTTGATCAATTTACAACATTGAGCATTAAATACAAATTTTATTTTTAGTAAATATATAAATCTAAAGGTAGGGATGTTAAAAGTCCGGTCCGGTCCGACTCCATGAGTCGAGTTTTAATCTAGACTCGGTCCCGAGTCAGACTTGGGACCGAGTCCCAG